AACGAAAAAAACAGTTCACAGGTGTCGTCTTTTTTCAACTGTCCAAAAATTATCTTGTACATTTTTTTTTAAATTTTGGTAGGGGCATGTTGCTTATAGGTACAAGGGACAATTATCCATATCAAAAAACTCTAAAAAAAGAGCGGATGCACAATTTATAAATAAAGTGTACAAAATACTTACAGCATACTACCAGAATGGCTATGATAAGGAGCAACCTCATGCCGTCTCGGTTCGCTTCGACACGCCGATCGAAGAAATCTCTGCCGGCGGGATAAGTGCGATGGGTTCCGTTTGAAATAACTCGGTTCGCAGAGCGGCTCGAACCACTATATTCAGGCGAGGGTATACTTACATTATGTGTGCCGGTGTCGAAGACGGCTCGACAAACAACGACAATGAGTTTCGTTCAAAAATAAGCACCTTTGTTTGTGAAACAAAAGAGTTTACGAACAGTGCACGAGGAGAGTTTGAGACGAGCAGCTCTCAGCACATTCGTTGCTAAAAAAATAAAGTGCACCCTACTTGGCCTTTAGAAAAACGCGGTTAAAATTGCACGAAACTATAAATATTTGGCGTATATGAATGATTGTTTTTCTTCCAATCCTTCTTGGTTTGTCTCGCAGACAGACCAAGGAGAAACGTATAGATCACTACAGCCAAGAATAAATATTTATATCCTTTAGTGAACGAGCTTTTGCGACGACACAAGTAATGTCTATCTTGTCTGAGCCATCGCACTGGTATTCGAGGCCACCGTTTCGTAGATTCATAGGAGCCCCGCGCCGTCAAGAAGGTGCATTTAAACCAACAAATAAATTATAATAGATTCAAAATTCACGCCTTCGCTCTAATTTATATTTAGAGTTTTCTTTTCTGCATAACACGGAGACAGCCAATTCGGCGAACAGAAGAAGGGTTCCATCAAATACGAAGATTTTACTATAGGATTAGCAACTGTGAAACGTCGTGACCATTATTTCTGCGGTCATCGCATTTTTTGGGGGGTAATTATATTTTGAGGTTTGTCACATTTACTGGGAACCTTCTACTGGTTGTGGTGATTGGCTGTCTCCATGTTCTACGTAATTTACTGTAAGGACAATAAAATATACAAAAATAAAGGTCCCCGATCGGTACCGTTTGGAGAGGCAGAACCGATTTAAAGCTCATTAAAACGTGTATAGACATATATATATATATATATATATATATATTGCCACACGCGTCGGCGAGCATGCGCGTGCATGGCCGAGTGGTAACCGCCCTTAACTGTCGCGCGGAAGGTATAGGTTCCATTCCAGCAGTGGGACTGTTCTTTTATTCTTTCAACTTGGCCTTCTCGTAAGTTCGAGAACATTCTCGTCTGATCGAGTTTCAAAAGTTCTACGCACCGAATGTTCTTCGCCGAATGATCCAGGAACCCACGAGGGTACAAAAGAGGCTCCGCATGGCGAGCGGAGTCGGTCTCGCCCCAGCGTTCGACTCTGCTCTTACGCCGACTTCGACGCACGCGACGCTCTGCTGTTATCTTCTGTCTCTTTTTTTAAATTTTATTTTGGGCACAAGTTCGCCCCATTAAACGTTCAGTATACTCAGTTTTTCGCCGCCTCATCACTTTTCATTCGTGACAATATATATATATATATATAAGAAGAAGAAAAGAACCCTTAGTGAAAACAGCAGCAACGGACGATTTCATCTTCGACATTTCGGCCGGAATCCGGCCTTCGTCAGGAAGCTTCCTGACGAAGGCCGGAAGCTTCCAATTTCGTAGCGAAAAGTAGGTTTTGGATCTCTGCCCTCGTGTACTAGTTCCTTTTAGCCTACTAAACGATATGGTATTACTAGAATCCTATTAGAAAGTAATTTATTCCAGTCCATAATTCAATTCATGGTTCCTTTAATAATTATTTTAGTGAACAAATCTTCTCAACAAGAAAGAAAACAATGTAATCTTTCTAGCTGACAAGCTCTTTTCTTTTGACAGAAGTAGTTGTTACAGGCATTCACGAAATCATTTCTTGTTTTAACGATACTATAGCTTAGGAGGAACCTCGGATTATTGAGCAACTTTGTTATTCTCAATTATCTTTTTATCCGAGTAACGTCATGTTCTCAAACTTTTGCATTCTATCACAACCGCTAGCGCCACAATCTCACGGAGTTTGAGCTTTTTAGGGTGCGTGGTTTATTTACGAGGGCCGAACAACATGGCTCTTTTTTCTCATAAACGCCCGGTTTATCTCAGTCCGTTTAACAAGACGAAAAGACGGGGGCCGGGGGCATGCGTTTCGGGCGAAAATTTAAACGGAATGTCAGACTCACCGTTGGCAAGCCCTGCGAACGCCGGTGTGATAAAGAAGATACAAGCTTTAGGTGCGCTGAGCCCTCTACAAATAGTTTGTCTAGTGTTGTCTTCTGGCAAGCGATATACCACCAACAACGCTACGTTCGAGGAGGCGGCGAAAATGTCCGTAATATCGTGTCTTCTTAATGTTAGAAGCAATCCCGCGGTTATTACCGATGACACCACGAGTTTATACGAATGTAGACTTCTCTGGTTACTGTTGCTAGTTCCCTTTATCTATACTCTGGTACTTTCTGCTTAAACACACAAAATTGTCATTGGTGATTGCGAAATCGCCAACCCCATTTCTGAGGGACGTAAACGAATGTGCCCAAAAGACCAGTGGTGTGGTTTGGGCTGCTCAAAAATATTTCGTGTTTTTATTTTACACAAGAATAAACTACGCGTCGCCGAACCCTCAGACTCAGCCCAAATGTAGTTCTCGGTCCGTATACCAGAAGCCAAAGTTTCAGAGCTCATCGTTATTTGGTTAAAACGCTATACGCGATCTTTGGGAATTCTTGCTGCTCCGTGCATTTCGAAAATTTTGAATGTTCGAATACATGGAGCTGAATGAATGGCGTCAACCACCGGGACCGGGCCCCATTCCTGCTATGGCGGTAATCATACAAAGACTGTCTGCAGATATATGCGAAGCCTGTACAAAGCTGCTTCGAACATGTGATAGGAGAACCCGCAGATAATTTTGTTATCATGACTACCGCGAACACTGTACCTTCTGCCTACCGTCTGAGCAGTGTCGCTATTTTTGCATGTAATGCGCGGTCCAAAGCGACACGTATTTTGTTCACGTGCAACGGAACACGTAAATATTCCCGCTTTCCCTTCTGATGTCAGCGCTCCGTTTCTATACTCGTTCCGGTACACGTATCGAAAGTTGCGTGTCATGATGAAAAACAGTGCACAAAACACAGGACGAAGAAGAGACACACATAGAACACACAGCGCTTGTGTGTTCTATGTGTGTCTCTTCCTCGTTCTGTCCTTTGTGCGTTGTTATTCATCGTGTCTCAATACCAACTGGTCCAGCTCTCCACATTGCTCCGAAAGTTGTACATTTTCAACTTCATAAAATATAAAAATTAGAAGTGATTCGATACAGTCAGGAACGAGTTCCCAGTTTTTTTTTTATTCTACCCAGCAGGCTCCATTGATTTCTTAAAGTTATTTTATTTGCATAATTAATTTTACTTTCCGTTAATATCACCAGTGCAAGCCACCATATACATTGGGTGTATTATTAACGTGAATACCCGGTCGGATCGAGAAAATAAAACCTGGTTTTTCGAACCGCAAAATAAACTATACTATTTTTCCTATTTACTTAAAAAAAAAGGTCAAATTAGTCGTTAGTTGATTTATAAAGCAGGAAGTTAGTCTGCCAGAACATGGCGACATTATTACCCACTGTAGATGAGAAATTTAGCCAGTGCAGTGCAAACCGCAAGCCTGGGGTCTTTAACGTGCATCACGCAGTAGTGATACACGACCGCACGCCGGTACGATGCTCATTCAGGTCGAAACGGGCAGGGCTGGCGCGAGCATGGGGTTTGATCTCGCAGACCATTTGCACGCGTTCTCGCGTAAAGGAAACCATAGATGAAGCCTCCCGCTCGCGCCAGTTGCTTTGACAGCGTTGTATACTAAGTATGGAATGAGGTATATACTCGGTGTCACTAGTTGTGTGCAGTGCAGGCGAAGGCAACGCCAGGCGAAGAGAGGAAGGGCAAGCACTAGGAAGGCGGGACGGGAGAGGAGGGCAATGAAGGGTGAGGGAAGAGAGGAAGAGCACTAGCAATGTTAGAGTAGAGAGGAGGTTCCTCCCCCCTCCCCCAGCGTTCCTAGTGCTCCCCCTTTCTCCCCTCCTCTGGCGTTGCCTTCGCCTGTACTGCATGCAACTAGTGACACGTAGTATAGGCATTGCAGAAAGCTGGAACTCCGTGAGAATGTGACACTACTAGTGGTGATAAAACGGGAAGTTTGAGAAGATCACGTTACCTGTATCAAAAGATTGAACGGATGAACATAAGCCAAATTTATAAGGCCACATTATAAAATGGGAGACACTGAAACAAAAATGACGTACACAACACTGTCTCGGTTTTTTTTTACGGTGCCAAGCATTCACCAGTTCACCTGCGCCCTCAGTTTTCTGCCAAATATTAACCAAACCAAAAGTTGAGATTGTGGGCGCCTGCAGTGTTTATTTCAGTGGAAAAAAACAAAACAAAAAAAGAAACTTGTTAATCAGAAAGACAATGTTGTTTTATTTTACGCTGACAAGAGTTACAGATGCCCACAATCTCAAATGCCGGTTCGATGAATTTTAGGATTCGGCGGCTCTTAGAGAAATATAATCTTTTTTGTGTAATTTCACTGGGGTAACGACACGTGATCAAGCTTTCGCATTTCATCACCACCGCCAGTGTCACACTCTCCTGGAGTTTCAGCTTTCAACGATGCACAATTTATAAATGCGGGCTGAAAGGCCGGGTCACATTTTCTCCATCCAACTCAGTAGAATCGTGACTCCTTCTGCTTTCTTGTCAACGTAAGCGCAATGTCGCCTCGTGTCCGATGGTGACTGCAGCGTCCTCCTCCTCGTAACTCCAGGACAAATAACCCGAGTTCACGCTTTTCTTCTCCCAGGCGCCCTCATTGGGGGCTTGGTTGGCCTTTTCCTCTGTGGCTTGCTCTGTGGTGCCATCGGCGGTGGCTTTTTAGCCCGCAATAAACGCCTGCATTAAATACCCACAAGAATGAAGAAGGAAAGAATCATGGCACTCTTAAGGGTGGTTCATACAGTTGCGTCTGCTTGCAACCATATGCCTGAAAGCTTCCTAAAATTCCTTACGACTAATACCGAATTCACGCGGCAGCGCAAAGGTACCTTTACTACCGGGTGCAGTCCTAATCCCACTTGTCTACAACGCGTCAGCGTGCGGCTTTCTCCGGAGATCGCTAGACTGGTGGCATTCCCGGAAACTAATGGCGAATTCCATGGTCGTTTTGGAGCGCGCCGGGATCGACTTTTTTGGAGCAATCCTATTTCACTGGGCGATCGGGATCGAGGCGGACGTGTTTTACTGGTCGTTTTGGAGGATTAGCTTCCGCTCCAGATCTCGATCTGGATCCGAGAAAAGTCGCTCCGAAACGCCCAGTGGAATTCGCCATAAGCTAGTGACGTGGCGCAACATGGAACGGCCCGCTCGAGGGTTGTCCTGCCCACTCTATCAGCTGGGACAACCCCACTTCACTCATTCCGACTATCCTTGTTCGGACGTCTTTCGGCACTCGTCGTGCCATTGTCGGCGATCAGTGCTTTTGTCCTGTAGGATCCTCTCGATGCTATGCGCAGTCCTGTTGAATCCGGTCAATTGATATACTTTTGTTTTTTGCATAGTAGCAAGCCTTATACCAGCTTGATAAGCGATAAAAGTAAAGTGCTTTGTGATTTATTTTTGTTTTTGATGACGACATCGTTGATACGCCTTCATGCTTTAGTTTGTTTATTGTTCGAGCAATGATGTTCGTGAAAAACATGCGAGCAGCCTTCCGCGTTCGCCGCCAGCTGATAAAGTAGGCAGGACACCCCTCAAGGCGGGCCGTTCCATGTTGCGCCACGTGACTAGCTTAGTTTCCGCGAATGCCACCACTCTATACTTCGTTTCAGCTTCCGTCCGAGCGCAGGCGAAGCTACGTGTGGCCGGAGCCAATCACACGCCGGCAATAGGTCACGGGATCTCGCCTGCACTTTTGTATCACTCCGCTGCGCCGCTGGTCGTCCGTGCCGCCCGCGCTCGCCGAGTATTTCGTCTGCTACGGATGTATCAACTGTATCGTCTACAACGGTTTAAAAAGTACCCTTTCACGTTCTGAAATTTAGTAACAGGGAATGTCAATACGTGGGCTGGCCGTTGGCGTCTGTGTCCGAGCTTTCCACCTTTTCGGCATTTCGGCATAGTTTCGAGACGTAAGTACACATTGCAAGGAGCCCGATGACCCGGCCATATGTTTCCTTGTATTGCCTGGATATACCAGGGCTCGAGGTGCAGTACTCTCCCCAGCTTCTCGGCGTTCAATGTGATAGGCAGGTAAAGGGTGCCCTCATTTCGCCGCGTACCAATCAATTGTAGTGACCCGGACGCTTTTCTTGTTTACAACGCATTCGCGGTACGACGCGACCGGAGTCTCCTGCCGAATTTGAAAGTGTTGTGGGCGGCGCTAGTGTCAAGTTCGGACACTTTCGGTAATTGGGTTGCGAACATTGTGCCCGCGTCTTCTGTAAAAAGCCATGGCCTCATGAGATAAACATGCTTTTTGGTTCTCGGCTCTCGACTGTCTGTACGCTCAGTTGCTTGCTTGCCGTCGCTGGTGGGCCGTGCAGTCTGACCGCCGGCCACAGCCCGGCACGACATGGTCAACATGGTGTCAGAAGCAGTCCACTAGGCCTACGTACCTTTAGTCCTCATGGCAGCGCATTAGGCCTACGTCCCTCCGTCATGGCGAACTCGCAAGAAGCTCCAACGTGGGCGGGCGTCTCCCTACGTCAACCCGCTGCTTTCAACTTCGACAACACCGGTTCTTGGTCTGCGTGGCTTACGCAATTCGAGGACTACGCTTATGCCTCCGGACTTCGCCAGGCACCACCGGACGTTCAGGTGCGGACACTTCTCTACTGTATGGGCCCCGAAGCTCGGGTACTTCTCGACACGTTCGGCTTGAACGCCACCACCCTGAACGACTATGACACGGTGGTCAAGCGCTTCTCGGAACACTTTGTGCACCCCCTCAACGAGGTGTACGAGTCTTCGAGGTTCCACAAGCGGGTTCAGCAGCCGGGAGAGAGCGTCGACAGTTACTACGCCGAGCTCTGCAAGCTTGTCAAACGGTGCAACTACCCGTCCCCCGATGTCGAAGAACGCCTGGTTCGCGACCGGTTCGTTGTCGGTCTTTGCGACGAACGCCTATCCGACCAACTCTGTCGGAACGCGAAGCTCAGCCTTAAGGACGCGTGGACACAGGCGAGGCAGGCCGAAGACGCCGAAAAAGAAAAGACTGCTCGTGGGAGTGAGTCAGGCCAGCTCACCGTCAACGTCGACGCTACGAAGTCTCGTCGGGGTCCGACGCACCAACGCAAGACAACGAAACGGTCAGACGACGTTTCAACCGTGCCTTCACGTGGCGATATCGACTCGGGTTCCTGCAGTTACTGCGATCGAGGCCCCCACGCACGCTCCGACTGTCCTGCTCGGCAGTCTCTGTGCAACTACTGCAAAAAGAAGGGCCACTTCGCGGACGTCTGTCGCGCTCGCAAACGAAAGCAGAGCAAGGTGGCGGCCCTACAGCTCCATGCAATCCTCGAGACTGAGAAGGCCAAGGCCATGTACGTCGAAGTCACTATCGACAACTACACGGCGAGATTCAAGGTAGACTCCGGCGCGGAGGTATCTGCTGTTTCGGAAGCCTTCCCAAACTTACCTCGTCATCTGGACAAGGTCGACGACCTGCTGACGGGACCGGGAGACCAGTCTCTAAAAGTCGTTGGGTCCTTCATGGCTACCCTCCTGTGGCGAGGCAAGACCTGTCATCAGCGTCTGTACGTGATCAAGTCCCTCTCCGTGCCCCTGCTGGGGTTCCCAGCCATCCAGGCTCTGGGCGTGGTCAAGTTTTTGGATGACATGAAAGTACAGGTGCCGCAGGGACTTTTCAAAGGCCTCGGCACGCTCAAGGAGGAGTACAAGATCCGTTCACGCCCAGATGCGGTTCCGTTTTCCCTTAGTGTTCCACGCCGCATACCGATACCCCTGTGCGAGGTTGTGCGTACGGAGCTGACCAAACTTGAACAAGACGGAGTCATTCGGCGGGTCACCAACCCTACACCTTGGTGTGCCGGACTGGTTGTGGTTCCAAAGTCATCGGGAGGCTACCGCCTCTGTGTTGACCTTACAAAGCTGAATCAAGTTGTCCTGAGAGAACGTCATGTGCTCCCCACTGTCGATGAAGTCCTGGGACTTCTGGGCGATGCAGCAGTCTTCTCTAAGCTCGATGCTACCTCAAGCTTCCATCAGGTCAAGCTTTCCCAGGACTCTCAGGAGCTTACGACATTTATTACGCCGTTTGGGCGTTATTGCTTTTGCCGCCTCCCATTCGGCATCACGTCTGCCCCAGAGTTTTTCCAGCGACAGATGGCATGGATTTTGGAGGGCCTAGACGGAACAGTCAACATGGTCGACGACGTCCTAGTCTTCGGCAGAACGAAGAAAGAACACGACCAACGCCTGCAGCAGGTGCTGTTGCGTCTCTCCAAGGCCGGCGTCACGCTCAACAGGGAGAAGTGCAGTTTTGGAGTGTCCCAAGTGTCATTCCTGGGAGTTGTTGTCTCAGCGGAAGGGAGAAGGCCCGATCCCGGCAAGCTGTCTGCCGTGCAAAACATGGACCCACCAACGGACGTCGCTGGAGTACGCCGACTTCTCGGCATGGTGAACCACTTGGCCCGCTTGCTTCCACACGTGGCCCAAGTGACAGCGCCGATCAGGGCTCTGCTTAGCAAGAACACAGAGTGGACCTGGTCGTACGAACAGGAAGTCGCCTTCGATGCTCTCAAGAAGCTGCTGACGTCCGACCGTTGTATGGCAAAATACCACCCAACCTACCCAACTACGGTCTCAGCAGATGCAAGCTCCTTCGGCCTAGGCGCGGTGCTGCTGCAGACTCAACCAACAGGAGAGAGACGACCTGTCGCTTTTGCGTCAAGATCCCTGACAACAACTGAGCAGCGCTACAGCCAAACTGAGAAGGAGGCTTTGGCGGTCACCTGGGCTGTACAGAGGTTCGACGAGTATGTGCGTGGCATCTCCTTCGATGTCGAGACGGATCATCTGCCATTGGTCTCCCTTTTCGGAAAGATGGAGCTCGACGTCTTGCCACCGCGGATTCAACGGTTGCGGCTGAAGCTCATGCGGTATCAATTCCGAATGCTGCACGTTCCTGGAAAACTACTAGCCACAGCCGACACACTGTCTCGAATCCCTTGCAAGGCCCTCGTCGCGCCAGGAGAGCTGGATGCCATCGAGCTTTTGGCAGCTGAAACAGTGGACGGCTCCTCTGAGGTGCTTCGAGTTCCCATAGAAGATCTCAAGATGGCTCAAGTATCCGACGGTGAATGCAGCACGCTCATCTCATTCTGTCAGGGCGGTTGGCCATCCAAGGGAAAGTTACCTTTGCACGTTGCAAAGTATGCACCCGTATTGGAAGAACTTTCAGTCTGTAATGGTCTTCTGCTGAAGGGAACCCGTATCGTCATCCCAGCTGCACTGCGGCCGACGATACTTGCTTTGATCCACGAAGGCCATCAAGGTATCAACCGCTGCAAGTCCAGAGCCCGCGAGTCAGTCTGGTGGCCCCAGATCAATGCCAGCATCACTTCCCTTGTGGCGAACTGTGAGCAATGTGCCTCGTGCCGAGTCAACCTGGCGGAACCCCTCTGTGCCACAAGTCTCCCAAGTCTTCCGTGGGAAGTCCTCGGCATCGACCTCTTCCACCTGAACGGCCAAACCTTCATTCTCCTAGTTGACTACTATTCCCGGTACCCGGAAGTGGTGACGCTGGGAAGCACGACGGCAAGGAAGGTCATTGACGTCCTCAAGAGTATGTTTGCTCGTCACGGAATCCCCAAGACTGTCCGGTCTGACAACGGTCCCCCATTTTCGTCGCGGGAGTTCGCCGGATTTGCAAG